TGCTTTTTGTTTCTCCAATTTTTATTTCTTCCACCACGATTATCTTGCTAGAACCGCTTCTTTGGGTAGGAGTTGCTCATCTCATTGTTTGGTTTTGTATCAATTTTATTTTTCCCAATTAACAAGGCCTTCTTTAATACTTCTCCATATGTAGGGAGTTCAAATGCACTGATCGCCTTCCGAATGTCCTGTCGAATCCCTTCTTCGAAGTTACGTGCTCTATCCTCCTCCTTACCTAATAAGTGAGTGGCAAATTTTGATAAATAAGTGAACTCTTCTTCATATTCAGCTACTGTCTTGTCACCTTGCTCTAATTTTCGAAACTCTTGTTCTTTTTGTTTGCGAACAGTTGAAGGAAAATACTTTTCATAAAAAATATTTTTAAACTCCTCCCATGATATCTTGTATGCTTTCTCACCCAATGTCATGACCTGCATTTGCCACCACCCGTAAGAGCGGTCTTTTAACATGTACACTGCATAATCAACCTTTTCCTCTTCAGGGTATCACATGTATGCGAAGACCTTTTCCATTTCTGTGATCCAATGCTCAACAATCATAGGATCAGTTTTTCTCTCAAAACTGGGTGGAGATAGTTTCTTGAATTATCCCATGTCACTTCTTAATTTTAAGTGCTCCTCATTTTGACCATCCGTCCGATTACGATCGATTTGATCTTATTGTCCAGTGACTACAGATGTCACCGCTTGCAGCAGATCCATCAATGCATTGTTGTTTATTGAGTTTCCTGAGGTGGATGCATGCGTAATTCTAGATCTCATCATTTCACCTATCATCTGATTCAGATCCCTATCTCCGTTAGGAGGGGTTTGCTCATTACCTGAAGCCATATCTTCCTATAAATAATAAAATATTTGGGTCAACTATTATACAAGAAATAATTTCTAAATCAGTTACATATATGCAAATTAAGTAATTATGAACTCAATCATTACTCAACATAATATCACAAATCAGTATTTACAAACAAAAAGTATATTATTAATATTTAACTTTTTAGTTCATACACATATCTGAGTATATGGGTTTACATATATATACATATTTTCTACCTAACTTTTTAGTTCATACACATATCTGAGTATATGGGTTTACATATATATACATATTTTCTACCAAAATGTCCTACATATACCAAAAGAGTGACTACGAATATATATACATATTTTCTACCAAAATGTCCTACATATACCAAAAGAGTGACTACGAAAACCCATATACTAATATTACAAAATTGTCCTAACAGTCATACTCTATTTCCTCGAAGAAGAGGAGCTGCTGGAGCTAGACTCCTCGGTCGGCTCTGTCTCTTCTATGTCCTAGGTATGGTCGGAGTCTGACATGGGTCTGGATCAATGCCAGAAGTCCCCCCATCCTTCCAGATCAAGGTCTGGACCAATCCCCAGGGTATTCGACTCACCCTCAGAGGGGGCAAGTCCTTGGTCATCACTAGGAATCTGGGCTACAAGGGACTCCGTATCAGAGGGGTCAGATGAAATTATAATGATTTCTAAATGTGATGAATCAACTGGAATAACTTCTACTGCTATATCCTCATCCTCAACATGATCAACTACAGACTCTGATGAATCTATCATAATAACTTCTACAGGCTCGACTTCCGATGAGTCTGGGGTCATATGGTTAGCTACTATCAAGCTTAGGTCAGTTTCATCAGAAGTATATCCCCAGTCTCTTAAGCTGGGTTCCCAGGAGCTATCTACATAAATCATAGAGCTGGACGGGGTAGATGATGAACTGGAAGATGAATTGGTTCCCGCCATCCTATAAAAAGGACAAAGTAAAACAAAATAAACATCTAAACACTCCTTAATGAATCTAAAAGGCTTTACTATAAAATATTTATATGCATACATGTATCTACATATGTATACATGCATATATATCACATAGTTGATCCATACAATAACACTCATCTAGCACATATACACTATACTAATGTGCCCTATAAGGCTTCTATCATCGAAACCTAGGCTCTGATACCATCTTACTGTCACGCCCCGAAACTGTAGCGAAAATTCTAAAATGCGGAGTGCGCGACAGCAGCGACACATGTACGAGACAATTCTTATGCACGGGTCAAGCCTGGCACTTCATATCACATAGTTTATCATAAAATATTTATAAACCTGCTGATGATAGAAGTCAGAGCAACTATATATATGTATATAATTGGTACTTATAGCCCACAAGCTCACCGTTATAAGCATTTTTACAAAACAAAACAAAAAATTATGCTGAAGATAACATCAAAAAGAAGAGGCTCTCCATATAACGCCTTTCAGCCAAAGACCCAAATCAAAAGTTCGGCTAGTATGAAGCTACGCCGGATCTAAATTTTTTTTTAAAAACAACAGGGTGAGATAGCGCTCAGTAAGAATATTTCCCACTAGAGTTTCTAGATAACTAACAAAATAATAATAAGAATAATTCTCAGAAATAACGAATTACAAGTTTTGCATGAGAAATTTAAAGATAGCAAAATACGATCCAAATATCATAATATTGTCGTCTTTAAGAAAGAATGCAACACTATATTTTCTTTCTTATGTGCAACTGAATATACTGTGAAGTTTCTTGAAATCAAAACCCTTTTTGAATCAAGGTAAACATTAAGACAGAAAAGAACTACTAATTTGTACAAACCAGAGAATTATTATTTTCTCAATTTCATAGTCAATTATAAAAATCTTAATTCTCGATGAGTTATTCATGAATGTAAAAGTCACCTCTTAGGTCACACTAAGGTTACGAATTATAGCCCAGTGGCAAGGGAATGCGTAAAACGCATCACATAACAGATAATTCCCGGGAATCGAATGCACCTAACACTGCCATAGGTTACTGACCAGATACAGAGGGGCCAGAATAAATTTCAGAAGGGCTAATACAGAAGGACTAATACAGAGCGGCTAAATAAATGTGCATTCACCATATGGCAGACAGAAACAATCCATAGTGGACTATTTGAGGGTTTGAAAACATCGAGATCACATGTCCAATGAGTAATACTTTGCATATCAGTTATTTTCAAATGAAGTTGACAAGGTAAAGCTCTTCACTTCAGTTAAAATAGTTTACGGATTTGTACTTTTTCTTTTATCAGATACTAAGTCACGGAAAATCTTTGAATCTGTTAAACTGTTGAAATATATTCCAAATACTTCATCAAAAACTTTCAGATAAAATAATGTCCACAATTATTTAAAAATTGCATGAGAGCCAAATTCATTTTTCATAGTTTACAAAAAATAAAATTTGTTTTTCATATATTGTACGAGGCTAACATTGTATTATAGTATAACCCACAACAGAAATAGGTCAAATCTTTATATACATGAAAATGACATATTTTTTTTATCACAAGATAAATCAAATATAATACTCAAGCAATTTCATATTATAAAATACTAGTGAGAAATGAACTCACCTCTAGTGGTCACGACTTTCTCAAACTATTATTCTCTTGAATATCAACCAGAACCTATAATGTAAGGTATAAGACTAATTATTAATTCAGGACAAACATATATTATAGGTAAATCAATTCATAATCTAGAGTCTAATAAATTCAAATATAATCAATAATAATTAAATTCTGCAGTACATATGAGTTTATTGCTATCTTTAGCAATTCATCGAAATTTTATAACTCTCATATACTAGTTTTGGACTTCCTAGTGATTTATGATAATGTAGGGGGTTATAGGGAATTTATCAAGTCTAAAAGTTATTGTTTATTCCCCAGATTGGACTTATTTATAAATTGAGTAAATAACATGACCTAATAAATAATTTTCCAGTCCGTTTTATTTTTGGACTTATTACAACCTAAAATCTTTCAGGGGTCCTAAGAAAGTTATGCTATTTTATTAATTTTAATTCTCATTCTCGCTCCTATATCTCTTCTTCCCCCTTCATTTTTTTTTTCTAGTTTCTCTTTTCTCTTCCTCTGTTTCTCTTTTTTTCTGTTCTCTCTCTCTCTCTCTCTCTCTCTCTCTCTCTCTCTCTCTCTCTCTCTATATATTGCCAAGGTGGCGTGGCTGCTCAAGCTCAGTCGCCGGAGCGACCACCCGAGGCGGA